ATTCTGATTCCTGACCTAGTCGCTGGTAGAGAAATGAAATTGAGTGGAGGCACTAGGTGACGCCAGCCTGGCTAGGTGAATACTCCACAGTTAAGGCTTCTTCTTCATCTTCTTCATCTTCTTCTTCGTCATCTTCTTACTCTTCTTCCTGTTCTTATTTGTCTTTGTCTTTGTCTTCTTCGTCTTTGTCTTCTTCTTCTTATTATTATTATTATCTATTATGGTTGTGCAAAAATATTGAAATATATATACATGTCATATTTTTCCATGTGATGATATTTGATGAATGATACAGTTTCACGTGACCTGCTATATTGATATATCATATTATATATCTTATATATAGTATTTTTTATATATTTTACTAAATTATTTTGTTGCACCACTATAGTTTTGCTTCTTGTTCAGAGGAAGGAAACTCATTTATGCAACACATTTGGAATTTTCACTCTTGGGATGAGTAAAATGTTTGTGTTTCTTATTGACTTTACACAAGAAGTGATTTAACAAAAAGTTAGTATCACAGCCATGATATAGCCATTATTTTTTACTGAACCATATCGAATCAGTTTGAAATATATTTTATTTAATCATATCGAATCAAAAGCTCACTGTTTTGAGCTTTTGATTCGGTATGATTCTTACATATCTTATCGTGGCCTGTGTATCGGGAACTTCTTGATACTCAGTCGTATTCTCTATGTAGACAAGCCACCAGGCCAAGTACATGAGATACATTTATTTCACTATGCACGTGTTTCTATTGTTTTTTTTTTTTAATACCTTTAAAAAGCTGCATTCAGATTGTGAGTGGGATTGTCTCTCTATAAATCTGACCTGTAACTGCTTGTCTACATGAAGTTTAATGTGAAATAAATTGACGCCCCACCAGAAAGTACATAACGTACTTTTAAACAGATCACAAACACAAATACATCAGGATTCAAATGATTACTAGAAGTGCAATCTCCAAATCAAATTAAACTGCATACACCAGTTTAACCCGTGATACCATTTCAAAACCGCAGCAACAATGAGCTTCTTGTTGCCGTACAAGTTCTTCTCGAATCGCTGCGTGGAGTCTTGGACCGTGCCACAGAAAATTATACACATCTGAACGCTTCATTATAATCAGTTAACTGGAGCGTTTAACTGGCGATCGTCTGCTGAGGAGGAAATTAGCCCCTTGTCAAACGGCCATTTACAGCCCGTGTTACTGCTCTGTGGGGGTCCAGTGTGCTTTTGCTAACTGAAATTCAGATCTGATGGAAAATAATACAACTATTTTCCTTTTACCTACCAAAGGCAAGTATGAGTAAGGTGTTTTTGTTGATCAATTAATTCTTTGAAACAGTTTGTCTATATTCTCCAAGACACTGAAAGGTTACTGGTTCAGTCTCTGGCACTGTATGTTGCTGTCGTGCCCATAAGCAAGCACTTCTTCCACTTTTATGAATGTGTTGTGTGACTGTGTGATTGGAGATGATTTAGACTAAACCTGTTATGATAACATATTTGGAAACATGATATATTGCAACAGGGATATACTGCGATAAACGATAATATGGAAACTACTTTATGCCACTGACGCAAAGCAGGATAATCACAGTAAACACATTTTTTTAGAGACAGCATCATTAAAAGTGTCATACAGCTCAAATCTTATGGTATTACATCAAAACGCCTAAAATCTATAGTCAGGCTGGCGCCACCTAGTGCCTCCACTCAATTTCATTTCTCTCCAGCGACTAGGTCAGGAATCGGAATACACTGGACGGTTTGTAAGAACCCTGGAAGTTGTAGACCACACACAGGCCAATCAGTGAAGAGCTGTGAAGCCATGACATCAAACTGAAGTGCCTGTCTGGGTCCCTTTTGTGGTACAGCACAACAGTAAACAAAGCAGTCAAGATGGATGTATTTATTATTTTATTTTTTTTTGAGACAGGGACAGTGCACAGTTTTTACATTAACCTTACCAGGAGAGATGCTTGTTTAGACAGTACACAGCCAGTATTAAGCCCCTAGTTGTATACATAGGATTCAGAAGTTAACAAACCTGGTAGACGAGTCCCTCACTTTGTAGGAAAATTGTTGATTAGAATTTATGATATACAAATTTCATGTCAAGTCAATTTTTCAAAATGTTTTTCACAAAGATTATACATTTTTTTTCAATACTCTTTAGATAAAGTGACATAATAAACTTTCTTTAAAACTGTGTAAAGTAAAAAGTATAGCTATTTTCAGTTTAAATAGTGTCTTAAAGGTGCAGTGTGTAACTTTTCTGGTGGAGCATCAAATGTATTTTTGAGCTATAAATCCACCTGTAATTGAATAAATACAAAGTACAGCTGCTTAATGTTATACTGTGGAACATTTAAAGCAGAGCAATGACAACAGGAAACACGAAGTTGACGACACACCCAACCAAAAACTGACATAGCGCACCTTTAAAGTACATATACTGATGAATAATTACATCTTTATTTAGTATTACATGGCGCTGTTGAAAAGTGTTTGCCCAGGTGTAGTCTGATTTAAACTTTAATAGGTTCCTCTTATTCAAAAACATGTTTCAGCCTAATTAATTTATGCTAATCCATTAATGGAAAAGGGCTGTATCTCAGTTCTGCTGTCTTTTGCAATTCACTTTTATCATTAGAGCAGAGCTGCCAAGGGTGCTTTTATGGGACAAACTTCTTGACCCAGAGTAGTTCAGCCATTTTAGATTTTTTTTAATAGTCCTGATTTAAGTGTGTAATGTTTTGTTCTAATTCTGGTTAAATTTGGAACAGTTCAGGCATAGTTTAGCCCTGGTTTAGTCCTAACATGGTTTAGTCCTGTTTTAGTCCTAACTTGGTTTAGTCCTAACTTGGTTTAGCCCTAGTTTAGTTCTGGTTTAGTCCTAACTTAGTTTTGTCCTGTCTTAGCCCTAACTTGGTTTAGTCTTGAATTAGTCCTGATTTGGTTTAGTCCTGGTTTAGCCCTTGTTTAGTCCTGGATTAGTTTTAACTTGGTTTAGCCCTGGTTTAGTCCTGGATTAGTCCTAACTTGGTTTAGTCCTGGTTTAGTCCTAAACTGGTTTAGCCCTGGTTTACTCCTGATTTGGTTTAGTCCTGGTTTAGTCCTAACTTGGTTTAGCCTTGGTTTAGTCCTGGTTTAGTCCTAAATTGATTTAGCCCTGGTTTAGTCCTGGAATACTCCTGACTTGGTTTAGCCCTGGTTTAGTCCGGGTTTAGCCTGTGCTTTGTCCTGTGTGGTTTACCCTGCTCTCTGTATGTGACATCACCTTCCCAAACATTTGGGCTTGTACTCAGAGCCGTGCCCATATAAGGAGAGAGCACACTTCCCCATAACGGCAGTTGGGGCGATCCCTCTTGCTCCGTCCTCTCTGTGCTGTGTGACATTCTGCACAGTTTACCTTACAAGGCTCCAGACCTGTAGCAGCTCCTTTATGTTTATCTGACCCACGGCTGGACTCACCTTTCTCCCCCATTGACAGTTATGTGCAAATGAAACAAGCTCTGGGGTTAAGACTAAGTGCTTTGGACAGAGGAGCCCATTCAAAAAGGAGTGCTCCATCAAGTGTGTGGGAATAAGGGGAGATTTACAGAGCAGGCTGACGACACAGAGATCACAGATGGATCTTGGTGGATTAGTGTTATTTTAAGAAGTACAAGAACAGTATGTAGCCAACATTATTATGAATTATAAAACTGTTTGTTGGCCTATTATGCCTGGGAATAGAGTTACCTGTGTTAAAATTAGTTATTGTGGTGAGACTCAGGTTTAATGACTCAGGGAGAATATAAAATCTCCAAGGTGACATTTATTAGCAAAATATTTTTTTGGAAACAACTATATAGGAAGAGCTAGAGTTCAGACTATTCAATCTACATTGTATTTAGTTGTGAGCGGGGTTGGCGCTCCCACAGAACTGACTTGCAATTTGGCCTGGTGGCCTCTCCTAGTAAATGTAACTAGTAATAGTTACATTTAATGTCATACTGTCGAACATTTCAGGCAAAGCAATAACATCTATGTGGGGACAAGCAGGTGGCAGACCCTCCACCAGAAAATGTACGTGCTGCACCTTTAAAGGGCCTATATTACGCAATTTTTTTATCTGTTGTAAAATTTCCTCATCAAAAACATACCTGAAACATTCACACATTTAACACACCAACCCTGAATATTTAGGCGGAGTTCTTTTCTCAAACAGCAAACACTCTGTTCTACCTAGTGATGTCATCTGGTAAGTGATAAGGAAGTGCTCCACTGTATTTCAAAACTCTGTACACCTTCACTAGAATAATTAGGATAATTTCAGCCCTGGAATTGCCTAGCTTTACTGAGCACAAGTTAAAAGGTAGCTGTGATATCACAATGTGAAACAGAGCATTTTGAGCTCTGGCAATGTAGACAGACTAATAACAAAGTATTACTCAAACATGTGTGAATGAAACAAAACACTCTGGTGTGTGTGTGTGTGTTTTTTATGAAGTAACAGCATTATAGCATTAGCAACAACAAATGAACACAACACACTTTTGTAGGGTACCTCTTCTCTGCTCCAGTTCTTCAAACATTTGCCATTTGGATAAACAGGACAACATTGCAATCTATCTTGTAAAAGCTAAAGTAGCCTATTTTCAAGACAGTTTAATTTATTTTCTTGATTTTAGCTGCTAACTTTTACTTAATACTCTATGTTTTATTCTGAATGAAAGGGTTTGAGCTGTCAATTGAATTTGGGAGTGTCCCTCATTCATTATAGGCGCTTTGTTGTTATTGCGGGCTAATTATCGTCAGACGCTTTGGAGTGGTTGGATCAGTCAAGCCACGCACTCAACCTTGGATATAAAGCCTCCAAGGTGACAGCACAACCAACCAATCAGCGTCGAGGGGGCGGGACTTGCTTCGCGCAAGTCCAATCACAGCGCGGATCCAGTTATCGATTGAATTTGTCTGAACCAAAGTTTTTGCTTGTGTGGACCTGCCTCCTACTTACGCGCCTGCTTGCCTTAACTGCTGAGTAGCCCTGCCAGCGGAGAACTAGACAAATAGCGGAAGAAATACGAGGCATAGTTGGAAGGGCAAACGGAGCTAGAGTGAGCGAGTTAGTGAGAGAGGCAAGCCGGGGGTGGACTGTACGTTTCAGCCAGTCGGAGCGTCTTGAATGCGCGGAGGAGAGGCACTACACATTGGCTATAGGCTACAGCTGTAACATCACCTCGCCTGGACCCGGCACCACACATCCACAAACTCTTTTAACCCCGACTACAAGCTTTCCAAAACACAAAACTATGGATCCTTATGACGGAGAGACTGATTACATGCACCAGGAGGACGACTGGGACCGCGATATGCTCTTGGATCCTGCATGGGAGAAGCAGCAACGAAAGGTAAGCCCAAAACCACTATTAAGGTGCGGATGTGGCGTGTGTAGCTCGTCCTATACAGACATTTGTTTCACTACCAGGAAGTGATCCAATGTAACTTCCATAGCGATGGGTAGGATACGCTGCGTCTCCGAGCGTACAAACTATGTCCAGATGCTTGGAATGAGACGCAATCTAGATGACTTGGAGGCTATGGAAACAGGAAGTCATATTACTACTATAGAATAAAGGAGAGACTGGAATTTTTGGATGTGTAACCGTGCGTTATTGCGCATTACCGACCATTACTGCGCTAAAGGTTGTTATCAAACTTTTTCCACCGCTCGTGAAATCACCCCTTGGAGACACTTGCACACATCCTGTATGGCTTTATGAAACGTCCTGTAGCCGTAATTACGCGAGGCCCACCTCCCCATTATCTCTGCGGCAACGGGGCAACGCGAGGGAGGAGAGACGGGGGGCAGGAAGGCAATTAAAGCTACCCACCTTTCCCAAGCAACAGATGTCAGACATGCGCTTGAACGGACCCCGGCGGCCTGTCATATGGCTTCTTCTTATGATGGGACGAGGATTAGACCGGGTTTACTAAGGTCTGCGTGGGTAAAGACAAAGCACGAGCGGGGTGGACAGTTGTCTGTTACTAATTTGCACTGTTTAGGCGGCAAGTTTTGTGCGTCCTACCCTTGCAACATGTGGTTCTTGGCACGAGCTGAATGTGGCTGATTTTAAGAGCTGTCTGGGCAACCCCTAAGTTAGCCAGTGTCCTCCTATACAAGTTCTCATTGTAAATCGGTAGGCTTGACACCAGTGGTTCTAGGACTACGAGGTGGGCACTGTTCGTAGGTATAGCACTATGCAGGTATATTATCCATAGTATTCTGTAGTAATTAGAGTAATAGTCCTATTTTATGCCTGTTTTAGTTCCCTATACCCCTGGTTTAATCATGGTTAGTACCTGGTGGTTTAGGCTTGCTTTACTGCATACATTTTTTGACCAGAATTAGTCCTAGTCCTAGGTAGGCATAACTTAACCAGAAAAGTAGCTTAGTCTTGCTTTTTCTCATAATTTCATACAAGCATTTATAGACACACGTATTTCCAGTGATGCTGTCCACGTTACTTCTGTAGTTTGAAAAAAAAAAAAAAAAATAGGAGGGAAGAAAAAGTTGCAGTGGAATGTGAGTGAGCTCTGTGGTTAGGGCAGGGCTTGTATGGGAGCGAGCTTGCCCAAAAATGGTAATAATCAGCCCCTCTCATGTGCTGAGCTGCTGCCGCTGCTGGAAAAAGTTGATTCCCCCTCACAGTTTTCTGCCCAGCTCTGAAAAGCTCTAGTTTCCTGCATTATGTCATCGTCAGACTGCTACCGGGCCCAGTGCAAATAACAGGGAAACACGCTGATGGTATGCACGACTGCGGTCAGGTGTGGCTGGCGTGCTTACTCTGCACTGGTCAGCTACACCAGAGAGAAAGTCCAGAGGTTGGGGCAGCATCACCATTCAGAAATATAATGAGGATGAGGAGCGGTGTTTGGTATCTGTGAAATGTGTATTCATCTTTTTTTTTTTTTATTGTAATCCTAGGTTGGCATTGTGAGGGACTAAACTGAAACCTGTTCCAGTAACTATGGATCTATACTGCATTTAGGTACAGCCTGGATGATGTCAGCTTTATGACATAGAGACCCATACCTGTCTGCCCTTTGCTTGTCTCTATGGAAATATTATTATTATACCTGGAGTGTCCCACAAAATTAAACTATATTTTGCATATACTTTGAAAGTTACATTGTGCACCTTTCATTTTGGATTAGAGCGGGTTCTGGACATTTATTTATAGGTTGATCATATATATATTTCTAGATAACACAAAATAAATAATAGTCTAAGTATAATAATAATCTTATACTTAAGAGTTTTGATCTTTGCTTCATTCATAGATAGTCCCAATTAGTGTTGGCAACAGGCCTGGTTTTTTATCCACAAAAGATGATACTTTCTTGATGATACCTGGTGTGACAATTTTTAGAAAGCCTTCTACTCACCTGCTTTGTTTCTCTTTATGGATCCATCATCAGTGATAATGGCCCAGATCTCACCCAGATCTTAGCCCCAACCCACAAACTCCCTCTGGGCTGAGCTTCAAGTCCTGCAGCCCGCTCCACGCCCATTACCTCCAGAGCTTAAAGAGATCATCAGATAAACCTTGGGCTTTTATGTGGCTCCCCATTGAGAAAAACTATTAGTAACTGATCATTACACAGTTACACTAATGTTTTTGGACTAATGAATCTTTGTCTTAGAGGATAAGCTGGTTCTGCTATGAATTTTGGATCAGACATACAAAGCCATATGGACAATGTCTGGGGCTCATCCTGGAAGATGTTTGATTTTTTTAGCAGTATAAGTTGGTTATGTATCAATGGACTTCTGAATGATGAAAAAGGAAGAGCGTTGCCAGAGTAATTAACAACTTAAAACAAAATATTATGGTGAAAAATCCCCAAAATGCAAACTTAAACACTTTTAGCAGAATTGTAAAATATTGCTTTACCTAAATTGATCCAAGAGTAGCTTATTAACTGATGTGTCAGCGTCCAAAATCCAGGCTCCAGAGTCAGCTTATCTGAGGTAACAGAGCTAAGTGGAATCAGTTCGGACTTTGGGACCTGACTTTACTTTTTAAAAATTTGACGCATATAAGTTTGACTCTATTAAGTCAATAAAAACTACATATAATGTTTTTTACGCTCCTTGCAATGTTGTTACGAGTCTCCTGTTTTAGTAGAGAATCACTTAAGAATACAAAATATGCCAAATAATGATCTAGTGCTATTTGCAGGTGGACTGAGGTCATTATTGATTTTGCTGTTTACAAAAATAGAGGGCTTAACACTTGCCAGATAAGAATACCATTACGTAACATTCAAAAGTACAAACTTGTCCTATTCAGACTTATTGAAGGTAAAGTGTCCTTTGTCTACCAATGCATTCTCGTCATATTGTCTTTCATATTTACAGTGATAAACATCTCCGTCCAAACAACGTGCTCCACTTTTCTGTGGTATGAAATAACATTTCCCTCTGGTAGTGCTCATGTTTCAGGAACTGGGGCTCAGTGTAGTCTGCAGGCTATGGATTTATTTGCTTCTGAAGATCTCTGTCTGCCTAAAGCAAAACAACAAAACCAGCTACAATCTTTAACTGCAGTACAAGTTACGCTTTATATTTCTAAAACGTGTAAATAAAATGAGCCTGGATCTGGACCAAGCTAGGGTTGTCAAAAGAATCCTTCCCCAGACACTAATCAGTACAGAAACTTGTGTAGAAGCTAGATACTCATTTGAAAAACTGAAATAATCACATAAATAGGACTAACCGAGACATTTCCAGTATAGTTTTTGAATATCTTTATCTGAAAGACCACATGGTAATACAAACTAAACCTCTCATTGTGTGTTTGATGTCATATTATGTATTTAAATAATCCTTTTTAATTGTGGTATTGAAATCAGTAATGGGCATTGAGCCTTTTAATTCAGACTGAAATCCAGTTTGAAGTTTGTAAGTGGAGAACCCAAAATTAAACAGGTCTTAATTGGAGTAAACAAGCCCAAGTACGTTGGTGGATACACAAATTCAAAATCAAACCAAGACTATGAAGCAAACCACAAATGTTTGAAACCACAGCGCTATTTGACGCAGGTGAGGCCGATCCACCATAGCCTTTTGTAAGAGGCATTTAGTAATCTGCGTTCATAGCATGTCTGGGAGTGTATGAAATATTTGCAATCCAACGCAAGCCCGGACGTGACCGTGTGGTGTAGAAGACAAGTTTGTGACGTCCTATCTCACCATCTTTACGCCTATAAAAAAACCCAGGTGTTTTCGGGGCTAACGGTTAAGGAAAACTATTGAAAATATGTCATTACTACAACATTTAAATTCAAATACCATACCAGTTACAAAGACAGAATGATGTGCTGTCCCTATAAGCTCTATATTAACATGGTTTAGGGTTAAAAAGTAAATATTTGCCACTTTAAACAAGAATTGAAGCTCTACCTTTATTTTAATGTTAATCTTGTTCATTTTATTGGATGTATTGTCTTTATTTTTGTACTTATTTTGTTTTTATTATAACTTGTGAACACTTTGGTCTGTGAAAAGCACTATATAAATAAAATGTACTTGAAAGTTTTTAAAATGCAAGTTAAAAGTTGAAGCTTAAAATACAGCTTTCTTTTAACTGTCTATGGGCCCAAAGCTGTACTTCAGAAAGTATATTTTTATAGGAAGAACTGAGAAAATTATTATTAGAAGAAACTTGATGGGGCAGATCTTGTAATTTAGCATGTGTAACCTGTGCACATACCCTTACACTTCACTGATCAAGAACACATAAATGTTTTTCCAAGTAATTAAGGTGGAGTTACTTTAGGTGATGACTCCTTCTATTCATCAATTGTCCAACACCATATAAGGGCATAAGCTGAAGCACCTTGGTCTGTGTACCTCCCACTTCCTGTGTCCCACACCCCAAAGCTCTGAGCTATAGTCCCATCCCTTCCCTCCCTCCCTTCATCACCACCATCATCATCTTCCTCAGTACACACCCACATTCCCCTGGGTCGACTCTGCTCTTCGGCTCACAGATAAGGACACACAGGTGAAATCCAGGACAGCAAACGCACACACACAGTCCCTCCCTGTAAATATGATTCATTAAGTCAATAGTGGTGCTTTTCATGTCGCAGTACAGGTGACTTTGGGGCTATCAGGCTTATTTGTAGGAGCGACTTTGACCTGTCAGTAGTTTAGTTTAGTTTTTTTAAGAGATCAGGATGTTCGATTGCAATGTTTATGACTATTAAGACTGCATATGCGTTATCACAAAAATTCACACCCAGATACAAATCAGTACTAAAGCAATTAACAATGCAGGTATATAAAACACACACACGCACAAATAAGACAACATTTGAGATTTCCTGATTGTTTTTGTAA